TGATTCACTGGGCTTCCTTTCAATTAAAACCTCCTTTTCCGTAAAACTACTGTGTCACACGACTGCAAACTATTATTTAGACCTAACTGTCCACAAATGAGGACACAAAAAAGACAGAAGAAAGGGAACCTGGAAACATGCAAAGGTACCTTAAGTTATTAAAACTTAATAACTTAAGTTATGCAGCAAGCGCCTTAAGTGTTATGGTAAACAGTAAACAAGACTGAAAGAACAGGCATGTTTGTCTTCCACTTTACTACAACAGAGATTTCTTCTGTAGATATTTTTAACCCCAACAGGAGTCCATAAGCATTTTATTTTTCCTAAATTAACTTGTGTGGGTAGTTTTAAAACAGAAAAGAAACACTGATTGCAAACAACAGAAAGAAAGGAACAAATAAGAGGAGACAGAGGGAGTGTGACAGGGGAGGGAAGCCTTGCAACACAGAGGACTGAGGAGTCTTGTGAATACCAGCACTTGGGAGACAAAGGCTAGCAGATCTCTGAGATCAAGGCCAGCCTGGTCTACAGAGTGAATTCCAGGAGAGCCAGAACTACACAGAGAGACCCTGTCTTAAAAAAACAACAACAATAATAGTGTGGTAATTTGAAAGAAAATGGCCCCCAAAGGGAGTGGCACTTATGGGAGGTGTGTCCTTGTTGGAGAAAGTGTGTTACTGTGGGGGTGAGTTCTGAGATCTCCTATGCACAAGTACACCCAGTGACTTGACAGACTACTTCTTGTTGCCTGTAGGACACCTGGCTACTTCTCTAGCACCATGTCTCCTGCACACCACCATGCCACACCATGATGATAATGGACCAAACCTCTAAAAATGTAAGCCACCCCAAATAAATGTTTTCCCTTTATAAGAGTTGCTGTGGTTATGGTGTCTCTTCACAGCAATAGAAACCATAAGACAAATAGTTACCTTTACAAAATCTGCACAAAATGGGACCCACCACCATTCCTGCATGAATGGAAGAGGGGTTCATGAGGCCCCCTTCTTCCCTGAGGTATTACTGTCAGGTAATGGTTGCTGGAGGAGTCATTTTTCCTCAGGGGTATAACTACTAATATGTTGCCCATGATCTAGTAAAGAGCCCCTATCCATGCACATGCAAATAACCTTAATCACAACTTTTTACAAATGACAGCTAGCCCCAAATCTCAAATGTCCAACGAAAGAGAGGTCACCAACACTATTAAGGTGCATTTGCCTGAAGGAAATGTACAGAAGTGACCTCCAGCTTGAATAAAAACAACACACAACTATGCTGACGTCTTCCAAACATAGTTTCCCTAAAGCAAGCATAGATTGTGATCTGGATAATCATTATTAAATTGCAGGTGCAGTTCCTCTGTCTACTAAATCATTTAACCCTTATGGCTTATTATATACTATCTAATTTAAAATCCTTTAATACCAAAGTAGTACCATGAGCATTCTGGATAGATTCTACCTGCAAGGATATTATTTCATGGACACAAGCAAGCAAGCAAGCACGCACGCACTTGCACACTCACATACACACTCGGAGGCATAAAAATATCAAAGAAGCAGATGAAACTCCTAGGCAAACAAACCTCTCCTATCTGGCCGCCTGTTCAAAGCCAGTTGACTTTAAGCACTGTACTACACAGACCTGACATTCACAGGAAACACACTGGTTTTGACTGAACTTAGTTTTACAATTTTTATAATTTTTATAATTGTAAAAAAGCTCTATTAAAGATTATTATGAATGAAATCAAAGCGTTATAAGGAAATTTCACTCACTTGTATAACAGAGACAATTACTCATTTAAAAATAGGGATTACTTTAGAATGGACTTGCAAATTAATTGGAGTTTATTATTTAAAAATGTGAGCTGGATGTGGCAATATTCAGTTGCTTGGATTAAGTGTAAAATATCTCACAAATACTATGTTATATTACCTTAAGGTGAGTTAATGCAAATTTATATTAAAAAACTGGATTCTTAACAAAGCTATCATCATTTCAAGTACTCAGGAGCCCTCAAAAACAAATGTGAAACTTTAGTTGTTTTTCTTCCATGCTAGTCATGCTGACAAAATTTATTGGTTCATCAAACTTTATAGTGCAAGTATGTGAATTTGTTTTTAATAAATTATCATTTTTCATATATCAGTCAAAGCACAAGGCCTAAATACTTACAAACAAAATGCATTATTAATTTAATTGTCACAGCCTATTTAGCTAATTTCTATTACATTTTTTCTGTAATATGCAATGCATTAGAGAGTAGAATCAAATTCCCAACATAAAAAATAAACTGATTATACTGTCGTGGAAAAATTAAAATATAGCAAGTTTGCAAAATTATAGCCAAAGCATCAATGTTTTAAATGGGTGAGAAAAATCTTTAACTTAATTGACAAACATTATTCCCAAACTGAAGGTAAAGCAAACTCACCATTTCTGTGATGCTTAAAACCCCACAAACAAAAAGGAGGAACCTTGTACTAGATTACATTTGTAAGTCATGGATTCCTCCAATCACAGATGCACACTGAAAAATAGTATTTATACCTAACTCTAGATTTCTGATGCATCATTCTTGACAATAATGACAGAAAAGAAGACAACATCAAAAATATATCTGAATAAAGGAATTTTTAACAGGAAGAAAAATTTAAAGACATCTAGTTTAGATGAATCTTGTCCTTGAAGAATTTAAAAGTAGCCCTGCAGATAATCTAACTGCATTTTCACACTGCTTGACAAGGCTCCTGTAACGGCTGCAATAGCATAGCAGTGTCTCCCACAAGAGGAAGCCATGTGATCTTTCTGTCACTGGATGAATCTGGAGTGTTCCCAATGGAAATCTGTTTAAATCTTGGTCACCAACCCAAGGCAACACTGAGAGGTGCTGGGCACTGTAAGCGGCTGGGCCTGCTGGGAGGAGTCGGGATCCGAAAGGATACCCTGGCCCCTTTCTGAACCTCCCTCCCACTCTAGGTGACCTGAGATAAAGGGTCCTCCAACTTGTGCACAGCCCCATCTACGTCACAGACAAAAAGACATGGAACCAAATGACCATGGTTACTAACAGCCAAAGCAAACTTTCCTTCCTTAAGGATGATTAGCTCAGACATTATGTCACAGCAATGGAAAGGCAGTAAACCTCTTGTCTTAGTTATTTTTTATTGCTCTAATGAAACACCATGGCTAAGGCAACTCATAGAAGAAAAGAGGTTATTCAGGGTAAAATTCGAAAGGGCGAGTCCATGACCATCAAGACTGGGAGCAAGGCAGCGGGCAGGCATAGCACTGGAGCAGTAGCTAAGAGCTTACTTACATCTATATATATCAGCAAGTAGAAAGCAGTGGGGAGGAGGAAGAGGGAGGGCAAGAAATAACTGAAAAGAGAGCCTGCCCTTGGAACCTCAAAGTGACACAACTTCTCTAACATGGATCACACCTCCTAATCCTTCCCAAACAGTTCCAACAACTGGGGACCAAGTATCCAAATATCTGAGCCTATGGGGGCCGTTCTCATTCAAACCACCACATCTCTCTAGCTAATACCACAGAGGTAAAGGAACAGAAAATACCTATAAGACACAGGAAAGCTAAATAGAAAAACCAAAAAGTAAATTCGTGACTTTCAAAACCATCGTATACTATATACGAGGTATCTTCTCATTGAAGGTGTTGGCATGATAAATAATGTGTATATAAAGACTAATTATACATACGTGACACTGATCTAAGTGTGAAAAAAATAAGAGCACAAAAAATTCTTTTCGATATTTTTGATTCCTATTCCTTATAGCTATAAAATTAGAATCATAATGTACTCCGCAAGATTATAAGATGATTAGGATAACTCATGTGAAAGCAAAAGGAACATAGTAATAAAAATGAGTTTTTCATTTTCTAAACTAAGTATGAAATACCTTTGACACATCCCAAATTATTCTCTGAAAGTACACAATTTTCTACATTTCAAGAATAATCTGCCTATGATACACTTGTTAACTGGGTATATTTTAGCCAGAAATAAGTTCAATATTACAATAAAAAGTATGAGAAAATGAAGCTTAGGTTTAAAAAGGAGGCAGACACAATATGCTAATATTTGAACATAACCATAGTCTCTAACAATACTCTAATGCTAAGGAAACTGAAAGCATTTTAATTTGTGAAAGGGCCATTAGATATTTTAGATATTGCTAATAAGGTTCTGGCCTAGCATTATTTGGTAGATGACTTCAGAGTTGTCAACATGTCATGACTGACACTCAAGTGAGTGTAGAATCTGGAGTCTTCTCTTGAGGGTTCAGAGGGAAGCTGAAAACGCAGCCCAGCTCAGGAAGTCGACGGTGTTTCTGCAAGTATTGAGTGAGTACCTCTCCAAAGCTTGAAAGTTGTCAGAAGTAGCCATGCTCACCTGGTAGCTGACTGCTAGATATCAGTTCAGCTACAATAATTAAAGCCTACATGATAATGCTAATTATGATATACCACCAAAGGAAAAAAAAACTGGAAGTTGATGGCACAATAAATGTAATATTATTTTTCAGGACATGGCAACTGTATTATTATTTGGAGGATGATACATGATATTTCGTTTTTAATATCAGCAGTGTGCTTAAGTCTACAGTAAGAATTCAAAAACGTTATTTTAAAACCCCAAAATAATACAGTAAAGACAACATTTAGTTGCTCCCTGCAATGTTTAAACATTTGCTTTACCATATATGAAGGTGTTTACCAGGGACAATTCCCTCCGGTTATAGTTTTGTTTACATCAGTGTACCTTTCAAGTATTTCAAGACTTGATTTTAAAATTATCATATGCCATTACATTTTTCTGAAAAGTTGGCATAATAAATGGCATTTAAGAAGGAAGATACAAATTCAAGATGAACCACTGATACAAATTTGAGAAGTTATTTCATTAAACAAAACTGAAAGTAGACAAAGCAACTGTACTTACTAAATACAAACTACAAAGGAATGAAAATTACCTTTCTTTTGGGGTGCCAACTCCATGTTTGCCTAGTAGGTGAGTATTTAAGTGCTTCTTCATTACAAAAGCAACCCTAAAAAATAAATGAAAATTAATTATAGAATTATATCTTGACAATTGGCTGGAAATTTGTAGAGAGCATTTAAGAATGTTTCTGGTATAGGCATACACACTAGCACAACATGGACACACTCATTCAAATAGTTCCTGGACAGTGCTTGCCTCTTCGTTAAAGCTATCACCCTACTGGAAGCAAAGGAAATAACTGCATCTAAACTGAGGAGCTCCTGATCTGGTATGGGAATACAGTGTACAAAAGATCAAAATAATGACTGCGGTTCTTTAGTCACTTTCTCCACTGTCAGCAGGCAAGAAAGAGAAAAAGTACCACAGTATAATGTACACTGCCCCCTAGCCAATCTCACACTTCAATCATAAAATGGGCTTGAGAAAATACCATTTTATTCAATATTTAAAGGATTGTAAAAGGGAAAATGAATACGTTATATGAAGCTTCTTTAGAAACACAGTTGTAAGTGGGAGAGGTTTTTTAAATGACTTAAGTGTTTACTATATCTACAGCATGCACACACACATACACAAATGTGCTTTTGTGCCAAGAAAACATCAACATAGGTGGAACAAACAAGAGTATCTCCTGACTCACTATCTTAATTTAGAAACAGATAAACTTATAAGCATATGTATGGAATGGACAGAACACCATCCTTCCTTCCACACAGCACCACATTGATTATATGACTCTCTACAGCACCAGATTTCACTCTGAAGATCACACAAAAATGGCTAATTTGAGAAGTTGGGGGTGGGGGTAGGGATTTACTGTTGTAACTTTGAGTGTAAAGGGCTTGCAAACATTTTTGTTAATTATGTATTACAGCTGTCCTTCATAAAGTTAATTACTAATAGCTAAAAGCAACTGAATCTATTTGCATATGTACATGAAAGGCATGACACATGCAAAAATATGATTTTAATTAGCATTCTATGATATGAAAGGCTACAAATCAAACTGGCATGTTATAAGATTCTTAACATTAAACACTGGATTCATCTGGACATGTTTGCACAAATGGGCAGTGTGAAGAATGTCGAGTCCTGCAGGCTCTCAGAAGAGATTTGCAAAAAAAAGCAAAAGTAAAAGAGTCTCTGGAATCACAAAACCTTCTTTTTGAAAAATCATATATTTGTTTATTTTCATATACTATTAGGAAAGTATGTAGGGAGAAAATTATATATTTGCATTTTAAATGATTTTTACTTCATTATTCAAATAAAGTTGCATACACTGAAAACACCATTCATTCTGTTTTATATAGTAGGCAATAACAACTATGACGATGGATGTTTGCAACCATGAATATCTGGTCATATCATCAATCATCATAATGGAAAAATAATAATCACATTTAAAGAATCAAACTGTGATAATATTAAGTGGTGAGCCAAAAAACAACAGCATAGATGTTCTATATTTGTTTCTGCTTGATTTGGAAAGAATAAATAACATTTTTCATTTTCTAAAAAAAAATACAGTAATAACAAGAGTCCATTTAAGTCATAACTTTCCTAGTGTCCTCCATTTTCCAATAATTAAAAAAACATAAAGCTAATAGCAAAGAGCAAAGGTTAAAAACCCAAAGTTGCAAAGCACAGCTTATTTACATGACCAAGTACAATTTAAGAGATTTGAACTCAGAAACCACAGTGCAGTTTTTTTAATAGTGGACCATTTATTAGAATGCTAAGGTCTGAAAAAGATAACCAAGCAAAAATGTTCCACTGCACAGGAGAAAAACCTTAACAGGAAGGAAAGTCTTACCCAACACACGCTCTACATCAGCAAAGGGGGGTTCTACTATTAAAAACTCAGGAGGAGATTTGTCACTATTAGGGAAAATGGAAAACATGTGCAGACTAGAACATGAGCTTATGTTCAACTGCAAAATATTTGTTCATCCAGTTTAACTTAAATGACAATTCTTTATATTTGGCTATTTAAAATATGAGTACTATAATACTTTCAATATAATTTTGAGTTTAAAAATATGTATGGAAAGCACACCTGGCTGACCAAAGAGAAGTAGTCAATTGATACAGATGTGTGAATGTAGCCTATCATCCATCCACAGCAAAAATAGACTACTGACTGACTTTGTACTTTTAACACAATTCACAGATACAACCAGAAACAAAAATGTCCCTCCAAAAAAGTTCCAGCTGAAATGCCTTGCTAAGAAACATCCATGTTCTGGCCCTCAAGCTCTATGTCAGCTTGTTAACTTTCACTTGGTATGTGACAGGTCTAGTGAGTTCTGCCCCTTTATGGATGTTTCATCTTATACTCACAACAGAAGAACAGGAAACATAGAGCAAAGCCTGTAATATTCTTCCTTCATTGGCACTGCTAGTCACACATGTATCCTTTTCATTCATACATTCATCACAGAACCATTACTGGGCACACAACAGAAGAATGGATCTAGGCAGTTCTGTGGGACATGTGAACAAAGAAAAGTCCTTGCTCTTGGGAAATGTAAGTTCTAGTGAGGAAGGCAGGCAACAAGGGAAAACAGAAGGCATTTCATGTAATGGTCAGGGGGAGAAGAAAAATAAAAGGAGGAAACTGAGAGAGGATGAAGAACCCTACCATTAAATGAGCAGGGAGTGATGGTTCCAGTAACAAAAAAGGCACCACAAACATCTGATGGGCTGAGGAAGAAGCACAGGGCTACAGCAGCAAAAAGTGCCATGGAGGTCAGGTTGGGGAGAACGGGATGGAGCAGACCAGGCAGGCAAGAGTCACGGTGGTGTAGACCACAAAGGCCTTGGCTTTTATTCTGTAGGAAAAGGCACTCTAGGTATTGAAACATTTTAACAGTATGCTCACTCTCTGTCTCTCTATCCGCCTCCTCACCACACACACTTCCCACACACACCAGGAGGGAGGGGTGACATGTAACTGTCTCTTGAAGTGACACAGGCAAGGACAGCTAGGAAGAGGATAACTCGTTATAAATGGGGATGTCCCTACATATAGGGCTAACCACAGCTTGATCGCATTGGATGTGGGTTCTGATAGAGAGGTCACAAAAGAAAGCTAAATACTGGTACAGAATTCTGAAAAGGAGCGAAGCCAGTTTAAAGAGAGAGATCAATTTGAGTCGTGTGCACTAAGGCAGCCCACAAGATCTAGAGAGACATGTCAGACAGAAGGCTGCCTCTACTGTTCATGAACTCCATAATGGTACAAAGTTCCTTGTCTAGGCGGTCCACCCAATAAGACCCTGACCATCTGAAAAAAAGTAAATTAAATTATCTTTTAAAATTTTGGGGTTGGGGACTAGCAAGATAGCTCAAGGAATAACAGAGATTGTTGCCAAGCTTGATTACCTGTGTTGAATCTCCAGAATCTATGTGGTAGGAAAGAGAACCAGTTCCCATAAATTGTCCTCTGACTTTCATAAGCAGGCTGTGGCAAGCATGCACCAACACACACACACACACACACACACACACACACACACACACACACACACACACACACGTTAAAAATAATTTTTCAATTATTTTTAAAATATAATTAGCCAACTTATTTGCAAGTGATGACCCAGCCCGCCTCCATCTTAGACTTGAAAGCCATCTTATAGTAAAGGCAAACTAGACTCATTCTGTTTATGATTAATCTCTGTTTCTCACGGAGCTATGCTCCACCTGTAAACTTAACTGCAAATGGCTCTGTATTGCCTGTTCCGAGAAACTGCAACCAAACCCTTGTTTAAAAAAGTTGTAATGACCATCTTGCAACGCTACCTTTGCTTCAAAAGGTTGTTATGACTACCTGTTGTCACAACAACTTTGCAATCATGTCTTAGCTTCAGGAGGTCATGATAATTAACTTCTTATGCTTGTGTTCTGCTCTTGCAATCTCACCTACTTTCTCTGCCAAATTCCCTATTTGAAAACCCTCTACCTACTCCTGAGTTATAAAACCTGTCTTCCTCAAACCCACTGCGAACACCTTGAACCTCACCTTAGGGGGACATAGTCCATGTACACAAATAAAAAAGCTTGCTTTAATTCATTGCTTTCTTTAATTAATTTGGCCTTGATACTTTGGGTTGGTGGTCTTTCTCCTCATATCTTTGGAATTAACACAAATCACTGTAAATGCATGAAATCACATCACTTCAACTGGATTTGGATGTCAAGAGTACAATAGAGTGCTAACATTTACACTCCAGTTTTCAAAATATAAATCTTATTTTAAGTTTTCAAAAAATAAATCTTCTTTTAACATTCCCTTCAAAATAGTTCTCGTATACTGTAGATCATGAAAACAACTCTTCTATTGGTCCATTAGGTTCAAACAGTGTAACATTCTCCTCTCCATTTCAGTGTTCTGGATGACTATCTGTTTTATCAAAGTAAATACAGCCTCATAAGCACAGAAAGACATGAGACGCAACTAAAATGCAGTTGCAATTTGCTTACGTCTGTAACTTGCACCTGCCTGTTAGGCAGGTGCTGAAATGCAGGCACCAAAAGACAGATCTAAACCTGGAGCCTGGAGCCTCTTGTTCTCTGCTGCAGACAGACAGAATGCAGCAGCATGTCCTCCTGGGGGCTGCCTGCCTGCCGTCACTTCTATTCTTCTATCTTTGTGGGATTATCATTTTCAACTCTTCAGAAATTTCTTCTATATACATAATAACTAGCCTCACCTTTGCATAGATCCCAAGTTCAAATAGAGCAAGGCCTTCCAAAGGATATGGACATGTCTGGGGTAGAAGTTACTGCAAGCCACACTTAACAAAAAGACACATTATGAAGCAACTGACCTTATAAATTTAAAGACCGTATCTGACATACACTAAAAGCAGCACCCTGATGCTCACATCACTCTACCCGTTGGATGTCCAGTGACACATCAGCACTCACCCATCCAGGTATCCCCACAGTTCCCCAACAGCTTGAGAGAGGACAAGTTTCACTCAGTAAAAACTGTGTGATCAAACAACCAAATTATTGACTTTTTAATCTCTACTAAAT